CATGACACTGTGACCTTACATTATCTTAATGCATACTTGAGTGGAAAAAGCTGCTCATAATTAGGAGAAAGAATCTCAGAGGCATCTGGAGTGATATAGTGGAAGGATATGGTTAAAGGTAAAGAGGCATAGGTTAAAAAAAAGTAGAAGCATCCCATAACAAACAGATCATTTACAGAACAAATCATCTGAGCACAGCTCCTTAGTTATTGACTTCACACAGCTATGAGTCTGATTAAAAGCTTAATACAGTAATATACATGTCCCTGGGAATGTATGAATACATATATTTATAATGTTCACACACTCAGTGAAGCACATATAACACTTGGGCAAAACTAAAAGCTCTTTGTATCTGTAAAACAACTCACCTTTTTGTTTAAAAATATAAAATAAACCTGCCTAGGTACTTCAACTGTACAGAAATTATTGTACCAACAAAGCACAAATGAAACGTTTTATTTCTTTAAAAACAGAAAGAAAATAGGTTATTCTGAAGATAGCAAACCTAGAAAAAAGAACACTGGTAGGAAGTTAAGAAATGTTTTTCAATGTCGTGATGCTGCTAATAGTAACTTAGACAAGCTTCCCAATCTCTCAACATCGCTTCCTTCAGTGGCCACACTAATTGGTCTTCAAGCTTCAGCATTTCCATGGTAGAACTTCCCCTCTATTGTGTCTTATGAACCAGAAAATCTGCCCAATCCTGTTGCTAATAATAATAAATATTGAACTATTGCTATAATTTAGATTGAGTTAGTTGACCACATTATAAGTAAGAATTACAAAAAAATTACTAATAAAAGTCCATACATTTGCAAATTTAGAAATGAATAGGTCAAAGAAAAAATAAAGAGGTAAAGTTTTAAAATATTTATAATGAAGTAATAATGAAAACGATATTTTTCAAGACTAATAGATGTAAATAAAGTTATTTAGGGGAATAATTTGTGGCATTAAATTTGCTTATTATTAAGCAAAATAGTTAAAAATTAATGAGCTAAGTGTCAAGATTAAGAATTATAAGAAGAAAATCAGAATAGACACAAAGAAAACAGGAGAAAAATATTAAAGATAAGAGGAGACACGAAGACAGGATCTGCAAACCAAATATTTAGTCATTGACTAATAAAATTGACAAATTATTAGAAAAACTAATCAGTGAAAGAGGAAGAAGACAAATGATAAGTGTCAACCTGCAGATTTTATAGAGATTAAAATGATAAGATCAAATGAAGAATTATGTGTCAAAAATGTGAAAACAAATAAGGAAAAGTCCCTAGAAAAATATAATTTACCAAATTAGCTTAACGGAAAATTTAAAAAGCCCTGACACTCTAACCATTACAAACATTTAAAAATTTTTCCCATACATGTAAAGCAGGTTGGAAAAAGTAGTACCAAACATTAAAAGAAAAAATAATCTGAAACATATGCTAACTAGTGTAGGGCACAGAAAAGAGGAAATATTCCCTAAGTCAATTTATGAGGATAGCATTGTCTTCGAATTAAATTGACAATAATATAATAAAAAGAAAATTAAAGGTCAGTCTCATTCATGTAGTTTTAAAGATTCTGAAGTAAAATTCTAGTAAACTAAATTTAGCCATATATAACAATGTCTAAGAAAATAATGCATCAAAGATAAGTTCGGCTTTTCCTATTTATTGGTTAGAATTAGTTAACTTCTATAATAAATTCTAAAATGTATACTGACTCACATGTTAGAGGTTTTCTTTTGCTCACTAATGGCCAAAAATGGGTGATTTCCTTCCATAGAGAGATCAAGAGAGCCAAGTGCCTCTCATCTTCCAGGTCCACTTTCTTTAGTGAATGGCTTCCAACGTCTCATGGACAGTGGAGAGATGAGAGCACACTGCGGATAGTTTCAGGTCAAGCATTGAAGGGATGCTTGTCACTCGTAGCTCACTGGCCTAACTCAGTCTCATATGCCACCTGACTGCAAGGGTGACCAGGGATAGCTGTGTGCTCAGAGAGAAGAGGAATAGATTGGGAACACAGCTAACTTGTACTTGCAACATCCCATTGATAAATTTGCACATTAACTTCTAAAAGGGAAGAATACATACAATCATCAGAATGGATACAGAAAACAAACATATAATGTGTCATAAGTTTATGAAAAGAATGTGTCAAACTAGGAAGATAGGGTCACTACAAAAAAATAAATAAACCCATGGCAAATACTATATTAAAAATTTTCTGATAGGAGAATCAAGATCAAGATAAAAAATTCTCATGATTGCAATTTATATTACATGCTACATTGGAGCATATGGTAAATACAGGAATAATATACAAAAATCAATAACGTGATAGATTGGAAAGTAAATAACAAAACTACCATTTTTCACATATGATACAGTTAACTATATAAGAAAACCCAATGGATACTAGAGAAAAATAGAATTAAGAGAATTTAGCAGGCTTTGTGGATAAAAAGGTAATATAAAAAATCTATTATATTTTATATACCAGCTACACAGATCAAAATACATGACTTAAAGTGCCATTTAAAATATTACATCTTTAAAAATATAAAATATGCAGGAATGACTCTAACAAGTGATGTCAGAACTTCATGGGAAATTATAAACTTTATTAAAAGAAGAAAATGAATATACTGTGCAAGGAAGACTTACTATGTATGGCAAGGAAGTCTATTCATTTTAGTGGATGTAGAGATTTAATGCAACATCAATTAAAATCCCAGTAAGATATTCTTGGTCTTTGACAGGATGATTATAAAATTTAAGAGAAAAACCAAAATATCAAGAGGTTTTTAAAAGTCTGGTAGAAGAAGAATATTGTGTAGAGATTTTTCTGATGTATCAAGAGTTATTACAAAGATATCAAATTTAGTTTGACCAAGACAGACAATCAATTCAAGGGAAAGAGCTTAGAAACACACCTATATAAGTCCTCTTTCCATTAAAATTCTGTGGAGGAAGGAGAAACTAATTAGTAAATAGTGGCTGGATAATGAATTATCCTTATGCAAAACAATGATAATGAATTCTTATCCAACCTAATCAGTTCTGAATGGATTAAAGCATAAAGGTAAATGGCAAAATATGAAATTTTAGAATAAAATATAGGAGAATATATATGACTTCATGTTAGGGAAGGATATCCTACAATACAGACCAAACATCAAGTTGATAAATTCAACCATATTAAAGATAAAACTTGTGTTCCTTAATAAACAGAATGTCTTTTCTGTTTGTGAAATTCAACATAAAGAAAATGTTCAGGAAATCCAGAAACTAGAATGAATATATGTAGCATTTCATTAGTGAGGATTACTATTTTTAACATATTAAGATTACCCAATAGCAAATGAGTAAGTATGTAATAGAAGAAGAAATAAATGGTAAATAAATATATGAAAATATACTTATCCTGATAAATAAAACCACAGTGAGGTATCACTTGGGAAATGCTGAGAAGCTGACCACACACAAATGTTAAGATTGAAGATCAAAGGCATCACTTTATTAACTGATAGGAGTATAAATTGGCAGAGTCACCCTGACAGTCATCTGGCATTAATGGTATCTGGAGAAGTTGAGCATGTGGTACACTGAGAACTTTTCAATTTCATTTCTTTAACTAAAACCTAGAAAAGCTCTTATATGTATCATAAGGCATGGGCAAGAATGTTCAAAACAGCACTGTTTGCAGTGGTAAAACTGAAGACTACTTTTCACAAACAGAAGAATAGTAACTGAATTGTCAGTGTAACATAGCACTGTGCCAGACAGAAACCATCTGCAGTAGGTTACATGCACCCATGTGGATATATCTCACAAATGTAAATTGAACCTAAGCAGCAGATTGGGGACTAATGTGCTCAGTATGGGCCCACTTATAAGAAGTCAAGGGAAATTAGGGTATGTGGCTTTTTTAAAAGAAAAAGCCCAGGAAAGATAAATACAATATTTACCCCAGTACTTAACTCTGTAATGGGAAAGGGAAGGGCTTACTGGGCCTTCAAATGATCTATTGATAATTATCTCTTTCCTGTTTTGGGGTGGTAAGTGTGCAGATGTTCCTTTTGGTCTTTTTCTTAATAATTTACTCACATGCAACAAATATACTTTTGAATACATAAGAATTTAAATATTTTTAAAATTCTCTGATTTTCTGTGCTTGTTAATCCTAGATATTTAACAGAGGTCACTTAACCCCTGACCACAGTGGTATGATAAAAGACAATATATTTTTTTCAGCATAACTCCCTATAATTAAATGTCTTTTCCTTTTTTTGTTTGATTTGACAAGGGATAAAATAAATATCTTTTAGGGAAAAAAGAGATCATTCTAGATATCACCTCTGAATTTTGAGACATAGTCACTCTTTAAAGGACAAACATCCATATCCTTTGGTTGTTTTTCCAAATTAAAAAGTAGATAGAAAAAACAAGGATCAAATCCCAGCCATGAAAACACAAGACCAGCCATAAAATGTCTCTTACTTTTTTAAGAGCCTTTATGCCATTAAGTTAATTCTTAATACATACATTTTACCAGTGAGGCTTATAAGACTCAGAAAAGAGAAATGAGTTGGATAGAACTATCAGCTTTTCAGAAGAGAATCAAGCAGGGGATTCAATGTCCTGAATCCTAATCTTGCACTCTTTTCTTCAAAAAAACACATTAATTTGTACATGAAAGATAAATGCACCAATGATTCAAAGAAATAGCCAGCTAAGAACCCAATAAAATATTTTTGGGTGAAGTATATTTGCCAAGCCCACTCACATGCAATCATTCCCATTTTCTCTTCCTCCCTTCCTCTTTTTCCCCTCTCTGTTTTCTCTTTCTCTTATACAAACACACACACACACACAGACACACACATACACACACACACACACACACACACACACAGAAGAGTGGAGACATTTCTGTCTACACATCCATTTTTTAATGGACCTTAAACTACACCATAGGCAGTTGTTTTAATTTTCAGGACTAAATGATTTGCTTAGTATGCCTCTATCAGCTTGCATGATCAGGCCCTTCCTGCTTCTTCCATAAAAAGCCAGATCTACTTTATCTCCCCAGCTCTTTCCAATATGGTCTTATATGGTCTTATAATCTCTTCCTTCAGGCCAATGCTTTTTCCTTCTTCTCTCCTGGAAAAGTAATTTAATGTGAGCCTCATTTTCATCTTTTGGAAAATAAAAATTTTATCTAGTAGTATCATCAGTTTGTTACAAGACATTGAATGTTCCAGTGGGGAAGATGATAAACCATGGGGAGAAAAACACAATAAAAATAGAGACTAGGATGAGGGACAAGGGAATCAGGAGGAAGGGTATTATAATTGTGGTCTACAACTTGTGGTGGTAGCTCCATAGAAATATCAATTTTCAAATTCATATTTAAATGTACACTTAAAATATTTCCATTTGTTTGCATATATATTATACTTATGTAAAGTTGACTAATAGGAGCTTACCTCCAAAAATTTGAATCATTCACAATGTCCTCCCCTAATTTCTAAAAAAAGACAGAATTGACTTAAGAAAATTCAATCACTAGTACCATATGGCATCACCTCCCTACTCTCAGGCTACATGCAAAGAGAATAGGGACAAAGGAAAAGAAGGGGGCAGATTTGAGCTGAAGTCTGGAGCCCTATCTGTGTAATCAGTGGTAAGTGAATGGAAGGATAAAGAGGAGTCTTCTCCCCAAAGCCAGAGGAAATACTGACATTCAATAGAATCACTCATAAATACGGGAGTGCCTCCTAGATTCTTGCTGAAATACCGAATCTGCAGGTCCACCTAAGTAGGACATGATGAAGAAGTTATGGGAAGGACCTACCTTGTTTCCATGAAGTTTTGAGATATAAACATAAAGGCTGGTGCCTTTTTCTTTCTGGAGATTTCTGAAGGAGGAAGGCTTGCTGGATAGCTCACCCCAGCAGTGTAAGAAGAGTTCCTGGTTTACTGTACTTAGGATGAAGATGGAAGCCATCAATCTATTCAGTTCCCACGGGCATTGGAGTATGAGACAGATGACCTCATGATCCACTGGAAGGAGTCCATGTCTTAGAGGAGAAAGCAAAAATTATATGAGCCAAATGAGGCAAAGCTTTATTGGCAAAAGGGTTGGGGATGTGGACATACCGGAGGAGTAGATATGAAGCACTGACTCCCTCCCTGAAGGGTCTTAGATGCTAAAGAGATTCAAGGTGAAGCATTTATAATTACCCCACCCCACCCTCTTGAAAACATACTAATATCCTACAACTGAGCTATCTGGAGCAAACAGAACTCAACCAAACCATCACAGGGCCTGGGACACTTGGCCACCACACTATGGCCATACCCCTTATCTTTTGCTCCCATTCTCATGGGCAGGACTATCTCTTCTGGAGGAACAGGTGAGGAAGCATCTTAGAGTCTGGCCATGCTTACTGCTCCCCCATCCCATACTTGAGGGAGAGGGAAAAATGAGTCTACAACTAAAGTTTAAAAGTAGACAGAGCCCGTAGTAACACAGAATGACCAAAAATACAGCTTGTGACCACAATGTCATAAAGAAATTGGGGAAATATTCAACATAGCCCAGTTGGAAATAGTGATCTAAAAAAAATAAACTCATTTCATTTTTATTGCCTCCTGAGATGAGATGAAATGAGATGATGAGATGAGATGAGATGAGATGGTTACATAAGAAAAGACATAATGTTTGGTAAGTCCTTAACCAGTCACCTGGTATGTGGATGATAATCATTATTTATTCAGGTTTAGAGGCGCCATTAATAAATGCACCTTGAGACCATAATGTTAAGTGAAACAAATCAGACACACAAGCTTAAATATCGCATTCTCTTATATGAGAAACTCAAAATGTAAATAAAGAGCAAAATAAAAGAAAGATAATAAGAAGTATGGAGATAGATCTTTCTCAAATTTGAAGGGGTTCAAAAAATGGAGGGAGTAGGGGAAGGATAGGAAGGGGATGAAAAAGGAATTGAGGTGTGTTATGTGCACTTACTAACTCCCCGCAAGGGATGTAATCATTGTGTACCACAAGCATGTACTAATACAACTTGTAATTAAAATTTTAAAATAATATTTTATTAAATAGTTCTTAAGTGTTAGGATATGACCCTTGCTCACAGAGCATGTTACATGCCTGGCCCACAAGGACCTATGTTGACAGTTTTCAACAGCATCACCTTTGCCACACTTCATAGACCCTTACCCTCACTCCTGCTATCTCACCTCTGGGACATGTTTCTTTCCCCAAGAAAGTCTCCCCTTTGCCAGTCAGACAATTTCTCACATTTTAAACAACACTTTAGAAACATAAATCTTCCCCTGTATATTGGAAAGGTCACAGGACTTCATGTCAGATTGGGTTGAGTGGGGGCTCTGAGTTCCTGTTCCAGCAACATTTCTTGCCAGCTGGATGGCTTGACTGTGGGCAGTCGCTACCCCCATGAGCCCTACTATTCTTGGGGAGAATAACATCTCCACTTCATAATGGGGCTGTGAGCATTACATGAGATACTGTATATAAAGCACTTAACACTTGGTAAATGATACTTATTATTATCATGACACAGGTGAATTTGAACAAATCACTTAACCTCACTGAACCTTAGTGCCCCTGCCTTTAAAACAGAGTTATTAATAACAGACTTGTCTACTTCATAAAGTTAGTGTCAGAGCCATTGAGGTAACAGACAGGAAGGATATTTTATGTATTATAAAAAGCTATTCAGCGATAATCTATTGTTAGCATTTTCAATGATACACTGAGCTGAAAGCATCTTTTTAAAAAGTCTCAAAAGAAAAATGAAAAAGAGGAAATACAGCTATTGTGTTGCTACTGCATTTCTGTAACATTTATAAGCAATCTAGAAACCATTCAACTTCATGAGTTAATTTAATTCTGTCTTGAACTGTGTAATTGTGGACTTGCAGTCTGGGTTACCCTTCTCCAGTCCCTTTTTGACATTTCCAGAGCCCACTGAGAGAACATCGAGTCTGAAATGGACTGGAGTCCTCCATCATGCTTTGCACCAGAGTCTCTGCTAGCTTTCTTTGGACACCACCCTGGAAGATTCCATCTCTTTCAAGAGTTTAGAATCCTCTCATGAGAGAATTGTAAGCTCTTATGAAATGAGGCCAGAGTGTAGTATTGTTCTGTCAGATGCAGAAAATAGTCCCACATAGCGGACTTGGTTCTCTCAGGCTGGGAATTGTCATGATTGCTCCAGGGAGAAGCTATTATCTGCCATGGGAAACACCCTTCCTTCCCTGGTTGGCCCTCCTGTCCAATGGGAACATGTTTCAGGAGGTGGGAGGAGGTACTCAGTTTATGTTACATTTCTGTAAGCCCAGGAAAATGAGGCTCCTGGTGCTTGTTTACTCAGCCACTGCCAAGTTCTAAACTTTATTCTCAGAATGGCAGACCAACTCTTTAGCCTCTCAGGCTCCAGGGAGAGCAGAAGTAATACTTGTTCCTTCAGTTACAAGGTGTCAGCATAAAAAGAATAAATGCTTAGAACAATGCCTGATAGATATGAAAAGTTTTCCATGACCATATAATGTATCATCTACTATAGTTTCTTAGGCCATTTTTTAAGAGAAAAGAGGCACGGCCTATATAACAAGACTTTCACAAGCAGATCAGGAAGTATGGGACACTTAGGACATGATATAAGCCAGTATTGGTCATAGATTGGATATGCAGACATCAGTGGTGGGGAACCCATTGCTGTTGGTGTACCTGAAACAGTTCACTGTGTCACCAGAGTCACTGAGCACTGCCTGGTGCACTGGCAAAGGTGGGTCTTCCACAGATCTGCCTGGCCTTCTAGGAATGGTGGGAAGAGCAGTTCTTTCTATATTTCTAGAGGAATCATCCTGAAGCATCTGGATTCTATCGTGGGTGCTCTTAGGGACTGGGGCTAAGAAAGCAATATCAGAATCTCTCTTTCCTCTATTGATATTCTACAAAGATAGAAAAGGAAAAAATACAAAAATTCTCTTCTGCCCAGCCTATTTGTGAACCAGGTGGGGTGAAGATGAGGAATAAATGTGCTCTGATACAGATATAAAATATTTCCCTACTCATTACATGCTGCCAAATTGGGAGATTGGCATGAGGGTAGTTGAAAAGCCCACCTTCTATGTTCTCCAAACCACCCTCCATCATGGCCACAACTGGGAAGCACACTAAAGTATCTGGGTGTGGACACTTTATTTTGCAGTCTACTTCCCTCTCACCTACCACATTCATTAACTCATTCGGTCATTCAGCAAGTAGGTATTTAAAAAACTTCTACATGCCAAACTCTCTTCTAAACACTGGGGATATAGTGATGAATAAGATACAAAAGGCCAAACTCTTATAGTCTAAACTTATAGTCTAGAGTTTTGATGTTCAGTATGGTGGCCACTAGCTACATGCAGCTATTTAAATTTATAGTAATTAGACAAATTATAGTAAAAGTTCAATTTTCTTAGTTACTGCAGTCACATTCCAGGTGCTCAGTAGCCATGTGGGGCTATTATAGCAATGAGTTCAAAAACAGAATATTCCCATTATTACAGAAACCTCTATTGGATGTCACCCTTATACAAGGCAATGATGAGTTGAAAAACAATAAAGAAGCCCCTAAACATATATATTATAGGTCAAATGGCTATGAAAGTGCTTTGGAGAAATATTAAAATGAGGGGCCTAGAGATATACTAGAGTATGGGAGATGGAGGATAAGGTGGTAGGAGATGCCTTCTGATAATCAGAGCTGATTGCCATACTTGGTGAAATATTACACTATCTTCTTATCAGTTGTTAAACAAGCATGTCTTGAAGTTTTATGATTGGTACCCTCTGCACCAAGTTGACTCCTTTCTTGAAACCCTCCCTCACCCAGTTCAGTTATTAAAAAATGAACTCCTGCCTCAACAGTAGACAGCCAGGGCCATGATCCTGCTGTGTGTCTTTGAATGTCATGATTTTTCACTTCTCATGCAATAATATTTAAAATGTATTTTGCATTGTACTCTAGCTGAATTGTCATCTAATTGGGTCTTAATAGAAGTAAGAAGAATAGCCATGGAGATATGTAGAGAAAATCATTCCAGGCAGAGTAAATAGCAAGCACAAAGGTCCTAAGGATGGAACATACTTGGCATAGTAGAGGAAAAGCAAGGAAGGTGGGACCAAGTTTCTGAACAGAGGTAAAAAATGATATCAAAGATGTAAGCGAAGTTGCAGATTGTGTAGGGCCTTCTAGGCCATTTATATCAATTATTACCACAATGATGTTACATAAAAACAGCCACAAACCCCAGTGCCCTAAATGAATATTCATATTCTACTGTTCATGAATCTATGGTTCAGTTGAGATCTGATCATCTTGGCCAGACTTGCTATATCACAATGAGATTTGCTCACGGAAGGTCAGATGTTGGCTTGGCCCAAGGCTGGCCATCTCAGATAGACTCATTCCCACTTCTGACTGTTGACTAGCTACCAGCTGGGGGTGAGAGTGACTAGATGACATGTCTCATCATCCTGCAGACTAGGCCAGGCTTGTTACATGGACACATAGTGTCCCAAGAAAGTCCAGGCCAGGAATGTCACTCTGTCATTTATGTTGCATTCTGCAGGCCAATGCAAATCACAGGGTCAGCCCAGATTCAAGGTAAATAGATTCCACTTCTTTCTGAGAGAGACTATATAGTTGCTTTGCAAAGGAAGCAGATATAGGGAGGAGTGGAAAATTGCAGCTATTTATGCAATTAGTTTACCAAGCCAGTATAAAGACTCTTACCTGAGTATCAAAGGATGCCACTAAGGTCTAATGGATCGTCACCTGATTCAGCTTAGGTTTAAAGTAACCTTTCTAGGAGCTGTATCAAGAATAACCTATAGAGAACAGGGAGACCTGTTAAAAAAGGGTTGCAACAAACTAAGAGAAAGATAAAGGTGATGTGGGAAATAATACTAGAACTGAATGCAACATTAATGAAATGAGAGTGTTCGCTTTCTGAGCCTGGGCGTTGGTAAAATGTAACAGAC